CACAAGCAGACGCACCGCAGTCTGGACAGCCAGCTGGCGCGAAAGTGCCCGACGTGCGGCAAGGCGTACGTGTCCATGCCCGCGCTGGCCATGCACGTGCTCACGCACAACCTGCGCCACAAGTGTGGTGTGTGCGGCAAGGCCTTCTCGCGGCCCTGGCTGCTGCAGGGCCACATGCGCTCACACACGGGCGAGAAGCCGTTCGGTTGCGCGCACTGCGGCAAGGCCTTTGCCGACCGCTCCAACCTGCGCGCGCACATGCAGACGCACTCGGCCTTCAAGCACTACCGCTGCCGCCAGTGCGACAAGAGCTTCGCGCTCAAGTCCTACCTCCACAAGCACTGCGAAGCCGCCTGCGTCAAGGGGGCCGAGCCGCCCCCGCCGCCCCCCGCCGGTCCCACCAGCTGAGCCTCCCACCGCGCCCCCGCGCCCGGAACTCGCTCGCCAGGCGCCCCGGGGGGCCCCCATCCGCAGCGCCCTCTCCAACTCCCAGCTGCGTTTCTCTCACCCCGCCCCTTCTGGGGACCCCTATCCCGGTTCGGAACTTTTCTCTCCAAGCCCCAAACCCACAATTCACTTCCCGCACCGTCTCCCCCAGCGCTCGCCGACCCACAATGTCCTTTCAGGCCCCCAAGACTCGGACCTTGACCCCCTGTCTGCGCCCTCAGGGCTCCCAACTCAGGCACCAGGTCCGCATCTCTCCGGGACCCCAGACCCGGAATTTTCTTCCTCCCACACCCTGAACCTTTTCCCTTCCAACTTTCAGACGTTCCCTTTCACTTCTCAGCAGTCTCTCTAACCATTCCTCTAATGTAACCCCCGACCTAGGGTACAAACTCACCCTTAACTCTCACCCCGCCTCGATTTCCCCATCCGCACCTCTGTCCAGGCCCAGCAGCTCCTAGGCACAACCCAACCCTGGCCCAACCCTCTCGCCTCTCAGCTGAGTCTCCTCGTGTATGTCCATTTAGGGGTCTAGTCTTCACCCCTTTTGGGGGTCCCAATCTGACCCTGATCCCCCTCCATAGCAGGATCCTAGGTCCAGCAGTTCTCCCTTCATATGCACATGCATTTCCTACTCTCTTAGATCCATGGAGGTCTCCTCACCCACTCCCACCCCCTACTCTCTCCAGACCCGCTCACTCCTCTAGCAGCTTCACCCCCTTTGAGTTTACCAGACCTGGGGAGGATTTGAGGGCATTTCAGGGCCCTGCCCCCAAAGGCAGCCAGCCACTCCCCGGGCTTCCAGCCTCGAGCTGCCCTCCTCCTAGATTCTCTGAGCACTTTCCTCCCCGCCCCCAGGACTACAGGTACCCCTCATGTCTTAGGGGGAAATTTGGGCACCTCACAAAAGCCTCCCTCGTCTGGCTGGGTGTCTCCAGTTATTTATTTGTGTATTTATTTATCTATTTATTTTATTTATTTCTTGGCCTCACCCAGGGATGGTCTGGCTTCCCCAGCTGGACTGGGAGGTCAGGGAGCCAGGCATGGAGAGGGACAGCAAAGGCCATACAGGGCTATTGCCCCTACCCCATCCTCGACGCAGGAAGTGAGGGAGAAGCCCCGCCCGCACCAGAGCCTGAACCCGCTGGGGGAGGGGCAGGAGAATAGGAGCGGTCACCTGCTGACACTCAGCTGGGGAGGGGGTGATCAGGAGGTCCAGACTCGGGGCAGGTCCCTACTCCTGAGCCTTCCACCCCACCCCAGGGAGCCCGGCGAGAGGAGCCTCCCGGATGTTTCCTATTTATTCCTCTTCTTGAGGGACCCCAGGTTCCAGGGACCGACTGAGCCCCGGACCCCGCTGGGGCCTCGGCCCGCTCCTCGGGAGGAGCGCTCCCTCCCGGCCACGTCTATGCAACTCTCCCGGGCAGAGGGGTCGGGGCTGCCAGCCACCCGCCCGTTGGCCGCCACTACCTCCCCCGCCGCGCTTTTGCATGCCCGGGCGAGGAACGAAGCACACACCTCCACGCGCACGGGCCCTGACCCCCTCTGCTTTAAGCACACGCCTCTGATCCAGCGCTCTGCGCCCAGCTAGGGGGCAGGAGTCCTGGACTCTCCGACCTCCTCCCCCGACCCCACCACTCAAGAGGGTGGGGGCTGGAGGCGCCCTGGAGCACGGATATTTCTCAAGGGCTTCTGAGCGAGTGGGTGTTCCTTCGCCCACATCCAGGCCCGCTGGGGAAGGGAGGCTGCAGGGATGGTGGGAGGGAGAGGGGCCGCAGAAGCAATTACGGAGGGTGTTGACTCTGTAAATAGGAACTTCCGACAGCAATAATTTTCCATGCATGCTAAGCCTTTTGGCCATATTTTGTACGAGCGCTTGGCGCTCACCCCCTAACTCGCGCCCCAGACCCCCATCCCTTCCCCACCTCCAGCAGTATTACTTGTAACGCAATTCAGGGATATTAAAGGGACTTTGGCCACAAGCACCTCCAGGCCTTGTGATATTAAGAAGGTGGGCAGGGGAGGGAAAAAGGGTAAGAGTATCTTAGAGGCAACTGGATTTTTCCACTCCATTTCTCTCCCAGAAGCCTGTCCAGCCTATGGCTGCCACTAGGGTCACACAGCTCCAGAGTCCCTTGGCAGCCACAAGGTGCCAGGCAACCTCATTCCTAACTATCCCTCAAATATTGGGGTCAAAAACTCAAAAGGGCTCTACAGATTACTAGCATAAGTGAATGAAGTAAGCTGGAGGAGTGGAGCCCTCTGGCTAATCAGAAAGAGTGTGTCACTCCTTAAGGTACTGCAATTCAAATGAACTATACCTCCCACAAAAATACAACTGTGAGCAGATTTACCTCTTCAGAAGGGTAGTGTAATGGTTAAGGCATTTGGCTGTTAACCAAAAGGTCAGTGGTTCAAACCCACCAGCTGCTCCATGGAAGAAAGATGCAGAAGCCTGTTTCCATAAAGATTTAAAGCACTAGAAATCCAATGGGAGCCCTCTATGAGTCGGAATCAACTCATGGCAGTGAGTATGGCCTTCTCCACTTCACCCCCAACTGCTCTCTCCAGGGTTCTGGACAGCCTTAGGTGATCTTGCATGCAAGGGCCTGCAAGCAAAATGTGTGGCTTTGAGCTTAGCCCAAAGTTGTCCAAAAACACTGAGCTATTTCTAGAGTTAGGAGCTCTGGTAGCATAGTGCCTAAGGCACTTACTTGACTGCTAACCAGAAAGCTGGCAGTTCAAACCCACTAGCCACTCCTTGGAAGGGAGGTTGGGCAATCTACTTCTGTAGCGATACGGCCTCGGAAACCCAAGGAGGGGTCACTATTACTCGGGTCCAACTTGACGGCACATAACAACAACAATTTCTAGAGTTAGTGAACTTGTCACCAAAAGTGTTCAGAAAGATGTTGGACAAGTAATCCATTTTCCTTGACATCTATCTTGGTGATCTTTCAAAATACAAAGCCTTGCTCACAACTTCACTGGGGACCACAAGCACCATGCCACTTACTCCCAACACTCCACACAGACACACAGAGAGGTGGAACCCACAAGCTTTGGGGGCTGGATGCCATGCTGGGGTGTGAGGCTGCAGGATGGAACCTGGCCTCTCCTGGACCCACCTGGCTGGTTTTCTCCTTCTGTAGGCAGTGCAACTGATTTGTAGACCCTCACTCAGCCTGGTGCCTGCCCCTTTCCTTTCCCAGGACTTTGGACAGAAGACTGAATCCTGAGCAATGTGTGAGGTGTCTCCAGCAATGTCAGCAGTTTGAGAACCACCGCAAAGTGCCCAAGGGCATTTTCAGAGGTCTAGGCACACTGTCCTTTGTGATTAAAAACCACTCTTGATTGGCTGTTGTATCAGCAATGTTTGTTTCAGACCCAGGGAACAGAAACCTCTCTAGATCAGGGCTGGGGACTTTGTGAACATCTAATTCTCTATTAAATCCCATTGAAGCAGAAAGAGATTGAATATGGGGAATTAGGTGCTGACAAAATTGATGGAAAGGCTGCAGGTGGAATGACTGAGCCCCTTGAACACTACTGCAGAACTGGTCCGCCAGGCAAGCTGCTGCCTCTTCCACATGCAGATGGTGGAGGAATCAGAAGGCTACACTAGAAAACTGAGTTCCAGAACACAGAACTATAGTTGCAAGCCAGGAAGCAGAGACCACTGCTGCTATAACTGCCTCCTGTCACCCACTAATCTAGTGGCTTGACAATGAAACACTTCTACAGAAAAGCTTAGCACCTCCATGGCAGTCTTGCCAGAAGCAAGAGTCCAAGCAATGGGAAGATGGCCCCCACCATCAAAATGCCACAGAAGTACATCTAACTGGCAGAACTGAAATCACTGTCAGTATTCTTGCTGCAAGGAAGTCTAGGAAATGGAGTTTTTAACTCTTCAACCATGCAATTTGGAAGGCACCCTAGGAGAAGGAGGGAATGGAAGTCTAGTGCCTAGTGACCATATTCACCTCCGTTGTAGTGGTCCAATATTCATTCCCCACTCCTTGATTGGCACCCATGCAGTTTGGGGACTGATTATCAGCTTAAAGAGTGACCTTGACAGGTCTAAGAGCAATCCCATCTCCTATGCGTTCAGAAATAGGCCAGTTCTGGCCAATAAGACCCAAAGAGAAGTTTGCTGGAAGATTATAGGAAAATGTGCTTCCTTCCCTCTCTTAAGAGAAAGGAAGCCAAGACTCTCTTCCCCTTGGACAACAAGGAAGAGTGTTGTCTTGTAGCCATGAAGGGAACAAGCCCAGATCATAAATGGCAGAGCAGAGAGATGGAAGCCTGGCAACTCAAAGGCAATGAGTTTGGGTTTATTCATTTGTTGTTTTGTTATCCTTGATGACCTCAGGGAGATGGTGAATCAGCCATCCGAAAACCAACTGAACATGCTGCCTCTAGACTTCCTGCTATGTACATGAGTGCCTTTATTGTTTAAGTCAGTTGAATCTGGTTTTCTGTTACTTGAAGCCTAGAGCAACTCAATGTGTTATCAGTCCAGTATGCTTTTCACAATTATCTCATAGGTCTTCCAGACCACCCACTAATTCTCGGACATTTCTCTGGTCACTTTGCTTTCCACCTCTCTACAACGACTATGCCAAACCTCCATTCTCCTCAAATTCCAAATCCTCCACCTCCTCCCCACTCTCAGCAGCTGACCTCAACAAACAGCATACCAAGAAAACAGACAGCATTAGATGCTTTCAATCCCCGCTTCCTAATGCCATACACAAAAGCCAACCTCCATTCCTCTGATCCTGTTCTCTTGCCCTTTCTCTTATCCAAGGCAAAAGGGATTTAATGCAAGGTACTGGGTACTGGAAGAGCTAGAGAGCAAGCCCTAGGCTATGCTTCAGAATCTCTAATTTCTATATATATACAGGAACTCTGGTAGCATAGTGCCTAAGGCACTTGACTGCTAACCAGAAGACTGGTGGTTC